GAGCTGGCAGTGGCGATGACAGCTGTAAAGCATGAACAGGAGTACATGGAAGTCCGGGAAAGAATACACAGAGCCAGTAAGTTATTGACACAGCTGTGACAGTGTCTCCTGGTGGTGGTGTTTTCTCCCTGCCTATAATTTTGCAGATAGACCGTACCAAGGCCTTGACTTAGAATTACACTGAAGGATGGTCTGTGAGATGCATGTTTTTTTGTTTTTTTTTTAAAGATTTATTTATTTATTATGTATATATAACATTCCTTCCATATATGCTTGCATGCCAGAAGAGGGCACCAGATCTCATTACAGATGGTTGTGAGCCACCATGTGGTTGCTGGGAATTGAACTCAGGACCTCTGGAAGAGCAGTCAGTGCTCTTAACCTCTGAGCCATCTCTCCAGCCCGAGATGCATGTTTATTGAACCTTGTAAGCTGGTTTACTGCAGAGACTCTATATCAGAAATGTTTGTATGTGTGGTGTTTTGTTTGTTCGCTTTTTGTTTTTTGAGACAAGATCTCTGTGTAACCCTGGCTGTCCTGTTCTCACTATATAGACCAAGTTGGCTCAAATTCAAGAGAGGCACCTGCCTCTGCCTCTCATGTGTTAGGATTAACCATGCCCGACTAGCATAAGTTTTTTTTTGTTTGTTTTTTTGTTAATGTTTTTTTTTAACTTCTCAATCAGAGTTTCCCCCTCCTTTCCCTCTCTCAGTCCCTCATCCTTCCCCTCATCCACTCCACTACTGTTCCACTTCAGATAACTAACTGTTGGCATCCCATCGATATCAGCCATTCAGCCATACCTAGTATATCAAATCGATTTGAGACTCGGTATTTCCTCTTTTATTAAGGCTGGATGAGGCTATCTTGTAGAAGGAATGGGTCCCAAAAGTAGGCAAAAGAGTCAGAGACTCTCGCTGTTAGGAGTCTCACCCAAAGACCAAGTTACACAACTTTAGCTTATATGCACAGGGCTCTTGGGCTGTTGGTTCAGTCTGTGAGCCTCTATGAGTCTAGCTTAGTTGGTTCTGTGGGTTTTCTTATGTCATCCTTTATACCACTGAGTTGTTCAATCCTTCCTCCCCCTCTTCAGGGTCCCCTGAACTCCACCTAATGTTTGGCTTTAGGTCTCACATTAGTTGCTGGGGAAAGCCTATCTGATGACAGTTGGACTAGGCACCAACTGTATATATAGCAGAATATCATTAAGAACCATCTTATTGACTTTTTTAGATTTATTTAAACCAAGTGATGGTGGTGCTTGCCTTAATTCCCAGCACTCCAGAGGCAGACAAAGGCAGATCTCTGAGTTCAATGCCAGCCTGGTCTACAGAGTGAGTTCCAGGACAGCCAGGACTGTTAAGAGAAACCCTGTCTTGGAAGAAAAAGTCTTTCATTTTAAAATTATGTATATATCACGTATCTTTTTGTGTGTGCCACATGCATGCATGCAGGTGTCCTCAGGCCAGGTAAGGTCAGCAGATGCCTTGGAACTGGAGTTACAGGTGGTTGTGATCCACTTGATGTGGATGCTGGGAACCTAACTTGGTTCCTCTGGAAAAGTAGCAAGTGTTCCTGATTATCTAGTAATCTCTTCAACCCCCACAACAATGCTTTTTAAAAATAAGTTAAAGGAGATGCTGGTCATTGTGGAATGTGCTTGGCATCCAAGCACCTGGGAAATGGAAGTTGGACGATCAGGAGTTTTAAGGGTATTTTCAGCTATAAAACTGGTTCTTGGCTGCCAGTCAGTGGTGGCACACGCCTTTAATCCCAGCACTTGGGAGTCAGAGGTGGATCTCTGTGAGTTCGAGGCCAGCCTGGTCTACAAGAGCTAGTTCCAGGACAGGCTCCAAAATTAAAGAGAAACCCTGTCTCGAAAAAACAAACAAACAAAAAACAACAACAACAAACCTGGTTCTTGGCTATTCTGTGCTATACATATAGAGAATGTGTTAAATAAAATAGCACATGTAAGAGACTTTGTGGCAGATAATATTCCTCAGAGACATGTGTTTAATTTTTTTGAGACAGTATTCTAAACTGGCCTTGAACTCTGTTTTAACTGAGGGGCCCAGTCTGGCTTTGAACTAATAGTGATCCACTACTGTTACTTCCTGAGGGTAGGAATTACAGGATAGGCCGGTCATTTTTAAAGCTCTCAGTCTTTGGCCTTGGTGAGTGGAGTGATTGTCAGCCCTGGGTGGCATGTTACATGGAGGTGACGAGGCTCCTGTGCTGCTGTGCGGGCTGCTGTTAACGTTTGTTTGTTTGTCTCCACAGTCAACGACAACACAAACAGCAGAGTGGTCCTTTGGTCCTTCTTCGAAGCTCTTGTTCTAGTTGCCATGACATTGGGACAGATCTACTACCTGAAGAGATTTTTTGAAGTCCGAAGGGTCGTTTAAAAGACCTTTTCCTGTTGATCCCAAATTCACAATTCACTTGTTTACCAAACACCTTGGTCATAATAATGTCATTAGTTTATACATTTTTATTTTTGAATGTTCATGACTTATGTTTCTTTGTGATTAATTGGTGTGGGATAACCTGTTTAGGAAAGTTAGAGTGAAAATTTGACATTTGATTGGCCTCTAATTCTTACTTGAATGCTGCCCCATTATACAAATCCTTCCAAGAGTTCAGAGGCTATTAATGCTGTTTGGGACTATGGTCTTTATTATGCTTTCCACTTTGGTTTTTATAATAAAATGCTTTGTTCCGGAAGCACCCCGCAGCCTGACTGCATTATAGGGAGTCCCTCATCTGTAGTTCATTATTAGGTGTTCATTTTGTTGAGTCAGTACATCAACAATAAACTGAAATTGACCCTTCTGGCCCCGGCTCAGGGCAGAGCGACCTGTGGTGGGGTATATTACCACGTGGGCACTCATACTTTCTCTTGAATTTGCTTTAAACTAAAGACTCATCCCAACACTTTGCCCCTAACGTTTTATATTGAACCTTAGAATTCAATCACCTCTATTCAAATTGACACAAGCAGCCGAGAACTTAGAAGTCTGTTGGAGCCAGTTTTTTGGGTGTTGGAACAGATGCTCTCCCTTCTGTACTACATATTCTGTTCGTTGTTGGCACTTAGGAGGACCGAGTTTGCTCAAGTGCAAGCCTGCATTTCTCATGCCAAAGGGTTAAGCCTCTTGGATTGCTTCAGTGATAGGCAGCCACTGTTGTCCTTTCAGTCAGTGGCCTTGGGGCCCTGGTTCAGTGTCAGCACTAGGGTTTTGTTTGTTCTCTGGTGTCTTTCTTTTTTGGCACATGTCAGTTTTGTTTATAGAAAATTAAGAGGCTTTCTCTCTGATGATGGGTTTCATGAAAGTCGCTCTGCTTTGGGTGTGGGTGATCCAGGATTGTGTGCTGACTGACGTCTGGTAGCTACCTGGAGTTTTTATTTTCCATTTTGGATCTTGCAAGGGGAAAACTACAAGTAATAAGTTTTGTAAAATTTATTTAAATTTGTTATAAGTTTTCATGTTCAGGACAAATAATTTTTCAACCCTGATGACTATCCTTGCAACAGTCTGTTGATAAGGTGACTCTTTCACCGTAGGGCAGCTGTTGCATGCCAATTTTTTTTGTGCGTGTGTGTGTGAAAACACTTCGGAATTGAATTAAAAGATGTAAATTTAAAATTGGTTGTGTATCTAATATGCCCCAGGTTCAGTAAATAAACAATTCTTTTTAAAAACAGTCAGTATTCTGTAGTTTATATTAAGGCTGGCTAACTTAAATTTTTTGATAAATACAAATTTTCTTTTTCTTCAAATGAGATATGCCTATGTTTATAAACAACTATGTTATGTTATTTTATTTCTGTAAACAAGGGTAGTGAACAAGAATACCAATTTAAGCCAGGTGTGTGATGGCCCATCCTTTTAACCCCAGCACTCTGGAAGATGAGGCATGTGGATCTTTTTGAGATTTGAGGTCACCATGGTCTATCTATGTAGTTCAGGACAGCTACGGTACATAGATCCTGTCTCAAAAGACAAAACAACCCTACCAAAACATAAAAATAACCATTTTATCCAGTGTGGTTTCTTTGGGTCAATGTTAACTATCTTGTGGGTGGAGAAAGTCACATTTTAATTAATTTTACTTAACTACGTAGTTTATGAATGTAGGGATATAGAGTGGAGGGAGGTGAAGTGAGTTACCCAAGGCTGTAGAAAAGGGAAGGAGGAGCCAGCTCTCCTGCAGAGATCTTACCATCTTTGAGCTGCTGATAAAGCAGGGAATGGCCAGTTACCAAATACAAGTACTGCATCCCTTAAAGCCTGGCCTCCTGCCAAGCTGTACATGGTTTGTCCGGTAGATGTCTCATAGCCGACATTACCTTTCGTAGAATTATTATAAACATAGTCGGAAGAGATTTTAAGCTCAGCAAAGTAGTAACTAGAGAGCAAAAAGCAAATAGCCTCGTGATTGCCTGGTGCCCTTAACAGGCTTCGTGTCCTCTGATTGCCCTCTATGGTAATTGCAGAAGCTTTTTGAGGATGCGATGAGGACTTTGTTCATTTGTGCCTCAAGTTTGGTATCTGTAGGCAACATTTAGTTACGTCCCCACTGTTGATTTGCTTTGGGGGCTGTGAATCTACTAAATGCACACGCTAAAAGTCTATGTAGGGGGAAAGTAAACAGGCGTTCTGCTAATGAAACTGAAGAGCGTCGGGAAGACAGCAGCGAAAGCTGACCCCAGGTCCGCAGGTGAACTAAGCTTAAAGGCTCAGCTGGGAGACTTTGTCCGGCGCCCTCGCTTGGCCGCGAATTCCTGAGAGTCATGCTCCTTGTATGCTCACTGGTGGGGCGGGGAGAGCCCCAGTATCCTTTACTAGTATTCATTGTAACCAGTCGGGGATCCTCCCTATCACTTCCATCGCCCTACCGCCCTCGCCTTCCCGTCCGCGGTGCACCGCTTCTTAGCATCTCGGGCCCGCCCTCCGGAACGTCGTCGCAGGAGTGCGGTTTTCTGCCCGGCGTTGGACCGGCCGGAAGCGGAAGTGCTTCTGGTGGTACCTTCTCGGTGTTCCGAGCGGTCTTTCAGTGGAGGCCAGGGAAAGCGCTATGGAACACGTGACGGAGGGTGCCTGGGAGTCTCTGCAGGTGCCGCTGCATCCTCGGGTGCTGGGCGCACTGCGCGAGTTGGGCTTCCCGCACATGACGCCGGTACAGGTATCGGGCCCACTGGGAAACGAGGCCGAGCGGTCAGCCGCTTGAATGCAGCCTCGGGGATCGGGGCAGTGCCACGCGTGTTCACGATATCCACTCCGGGGTCTCAGAGCTTCGTGCCTGTCCTGCGCTCTAGCGACTTCGGACAGTGGCTCAGTCTATGCCCTTTCCGTCTGAGAAATGATGACATTCACTTTCTTCATAACATTGTGGGGACTAAATAAATCCAGGTGCACGCCCGTTGACTGTGACCTGTGGTTATTATGTGGGGAAACATAGTCTTCCTTGCCCAATTTATCAAAAACAAGCAATCAGGCAAACAAGCAAACAATCAAAAACTCGCCAACCATTTATTAAGGACCTGGAATGTATCTGGGTCTCATTTAGGCTCTGGAGACTTGGCAGTCTTGGTACCTACTCGTGGGCCTTATTTTTAGAGGGGGTGTTAGAGGAAGAAGCGTAGGAACGAGGTAATTTATCTCGTGCTGAGCCTTATGAAGAAACAGATAGACTCGTGCGGTAAAGTGAGGCTGCAGGCCTCTGAGTGAGTTGTCATTCTGAGATCTGAATAATCAGGGAGGGGCTGGCTTTAGGTGACAGGGAAGCTGATTGCCACCGAGAGAGAAATACCAGTGCAAATACCCGCGGGCTGGTGGTAAATCCTATGCTTCCGGCGTTAGTTCAGTGGTTGAGAGCACTTGCTGCTCTTGCAGAGGACCAGGGTTGAGTTCCCATCACTCACAGTGGATAGGCTGACCACTGAATATAACTACAGTTCCAGGAGATCCAACACTCTTTTCTTGCTTTCCTGCATACCTCTATGACTGTAGCGTACATACAGATAAGTAAAAATAAACTTAAAATGTTCAATGCTTCCAGCTCTTTCCTAGTCCAAGAAGGAGCAATGGGAGTGTTAGGACTTGAATCCAGGACTCTTGTCACACTTGACCTTATAGATAACTCACAGTGTTTCTCTTGGTTGGTTGGTTGGTTTTGAGACAGTTCTGCCTGCCCCTCTCTCCTGAGTACTGGGATTAGAGGCGTGTGCCACTACACCTGGCTACAATTTGTCCCATTTAATTCAACCCTTTGTGGTGACTGTTTACTAAGGATCCCCGTGAGGCAGGGTCCAGTTTGACCTCAGTCGCCCCCTGTGTTCCTAGGACTTGGGTCTCTGTTGTTTGGCTGTGGTATTGTGTAAACAGCCCGTTGTAATCTCTCTCTGCAGTCTGCCACCATCCCTCTGTTCATGAAAAACAAAGATGTCGCTGCGGAGGCTGTGAGTATCTCATACAACAGTCCGTCCCTCGTCCTCCTAACCAAGCGGGAAGCAAGGCAAAACCTTTGTCCCTTTGCAGGTGACAGGTAGTGGGAAAACCCTGGCTTTTGTCATCCCCATTGTGGAGATTCTTCTGAGAAGGGAGGAGAAGTTAAAGAAGAGCCAGGTGAGAAGGGTTGGCTGACTGTCCTGGAGGCAGGACGGTCTAGGCCTGGGCTGAGTCCTGTTTGGTATCTGAGGAGTCTATTTTGAATTTACCTGCTTGTTAAAATGAACTCATGACACTTGGGTACTTTCTCGATCACCTGTGGGTATGGGTAGAAATGCCATTTTCGCTCTTATACCGTAAGCAGGTATCCTCATGAGTGATCTGTTAGTTGTGTTTTTTTGTCTGTTTTAATCCTCTCTTAGCTGAAGACCCAACCTAGGACCTTATATTTACCAGGCAAGTGCTCTACTATTGAGCTGTATCCATAGCTCTTCATTTTTGTGGCTTTTGATGTGATTTTGTTGTTTAAAATACCCTCAGTGGGGGCTCAGTGGACTTGTTGCTTTTGCAGAAGACCTGGATTTGTTTCCCAGTATCTCCCTGAGGGTTTTCAATCTCTATACCTCTAGTAATAAGGGATCTGGCGCCCTCTTCTGGCCTGGGATGCACAGTCTCTGTGTCCACGCTTACAGGCAGAACCTCGTGCATAAATAAAAATAAAAATAAATACGATCTTTTTTTTTAAACTTTATTTAACTTTATTTCATGCACATTGGTATAATGATGTCAGATTCTCTTGAACTGGATTTACAGACAGTTGCGAGCTGCCATGTGGGTGTTGGGAATTGAACCCGGGTCCTCTGGAGGAGCAGTCAGTACTCTTAACCACTGAGCCATCTCACCAGCTCCCAAATAAATACAATCTTTAAAAAAAAGTGTTTAATATTGGCTGGACTTAGTATTGGATGCCTTTAGTCCCAGCCCTGGGAGGCAGAAGCAGGTGACTCTCTGTGAGTATGAAGTTTATCTAAGAAATACGAGGAATAAACAGGCAGAGCAAAATGGAACCAGCTGAGCTAGGGCTACACAGAGAGTGTATTAATTACCTTTCTGTTACTGTGATAAATACCATAGACAAGGCGACTTACAAAAGGAAGGGTTTGCCTGGTGGTGGAGGTGCACGCCTTTAATCCCAGCACTCAGGAGGCAGAGTCAGGCAAATCTCTGTGAGTTCGAGGCCAGCCTGGTCTACAAGAGTTAGTTCCATGACAGACTCCAAAGCTACAGAGAAACACTGTCTCAAAAAAATAAAAAAAAAAAAAAAAAAAAAAAAAAAGGATTTATTTTGATTTTGGGCTTATAGTTCCAGAGGGATAAGAGTCGATGGTCATTACAGCAGGGAAGCAGGGGCCTGGAGCAGCAAGCTGAGAGCTCACATTTCGGTCCTTCAACAGGAAGCAGAGAGCAAACTGGGAATGATGAGTCTTTCAATGTTCAAATCCCATTCCCAATAACTTCCTCCAGCAAGGCCACACATCCTGAACCTACCCAAACAGTGCCAAAAACAGCGCCACCCATTAGGGACCAAATGTTCAAATTCCTGAGACTATGGAAGCCATTCAAACTATGAACGTGTCTCAAATAAGAAAATAAATAGATGTCCCTGGTACAGTGCTAAGGTGCTGTCTAGCGTCCCTGTGTATCCCGGGTCACATGGCATGCAGAGAAAATCTGTCCCAGCCAGCACTTCTTCAGGCCTGAGCCGCAGTGCTGCTAGCCATGGACTCATAGTGAGCCATGGCTGATGACACCAGGCTTTCATTTGTCACCCTTGAGGGCTAGGATCCTAAGCACGCGCCACCACTGCCCTGCAAAATAAATAAATAAGTAAGTAAGTAAGTAAGTAAATAAATAAATAAATGAATTTTTATGTGTATGGGTGTTTTGTCTTCATGTATGTCTGTGTACCACATGTGTGCCTGGTGCCCACAGAGTCCATTGGGTACACTGGAACTGGAGTTATAGATGTTGTGACTCCCATGGGGGTGGGGTGGGAATTGAACCTGGGTCTTTGGAGAGTGCCCAGTGCCATCCCTGAGCCCTATGTTGGTTATATTTTTGTTTTGTGATGCTGGGCTTTGTTTATGGTAGACAAGTGCCTACTACTGAGCCGCCCTTCACAGCCCTTGATGCGGTGATAGATGATATGCCCTGAGACTGTTGAAAAGTTCTAGGAATTGTCTGAGGATACACGATGCAGCACTAATGTGATCCCACCCGGAACCTATGTACTGCTGACCCTGTGGTTTCCCCTCCGTGAGGGCAGGTCGGAGCCATCATCATCACTCCCACTCGAGAGCTGGCCATTCAGATTGATGAGGTCCTTTCGCACTTCACAAAGCACTTCCCGCAGTTCAGGTGATTGGGTGCAGGGCCCTCGAGATGGCACTTGAGGTGATGGGTGTGGAGAATCCCTATTGACCTGGGTTGTTGTTTTGCTTGACTTTGCTCCAAGTACCATTTCTTGCTTCAGTCAGATCTTGTGGATTGGAGGCCGGAACCCTGGAGAAGATGTGGAGAGGTTCAAGCAGCATGGGTGAGCCTGCAAGTTCCTGCTCCTCCTCTGTGCTCTTGGCTCATAGGAAGTATCTTGGGGCCCTCCAGAGGGGGTTTTCTCCCTGCCTGCCTCCTGGTTCCCTTGACCCTGTGTGAACACTTCATAGTCTCCGGTTGTCTTGGGAGTCGGGGCAGGCATGTAAACAACCTGGGTTTGAACGCCTGGTGCCCCAGTACTCACCTGTTGCTGAGCCTTGCTGGCAAGACTGGTTATTTGCTGCCAGCTTGTGAAGACTGTAGAGGGTGGAATTCCAAACGTGTGTGTCTCAGATTGTTTTTGCAGTTGCTTATGGTCTACATTGTGTGAAAACATAAGCAGCCGGTTTGCATGGTCAGCCTGACTCTCTCCCCTCCCCCTCCTTCCCTTTCTTTTTTATTCCCCCCTTTCTCCTTCCTTCCCCTTCTTTTTTTCTTCCTTCCCCTCCTCTCCCTTTCTCTCTTTTCTCCCCTCTCCCCTCTGTCTCTTCCTCTCTCTGTTTCTCTGTTTCTTATTGCTGGGATTTGAACCGTGGGCCTCATGCTATAGTTGTGTTTTCCGTTGCTTCAGGTCAGAGGTCAGCCTGCGTTGTGTGGGCCTTGTGGTGTCGTGTTGCAGTTTCTCTGCTGCAGTAGAGAGAGACGACAGAGATAGTCTACAGTAGGGGTAAAGAGTGTGGCTGTGTGCCAGCAACATGCTTGCTAACACAGGTAGCCAGTGTGGCCAGTGGACTGGACCTTGCCCGTCCTGCCCGAATCCTGGCCTGTAACCAGATCCTCCTCTCTCGCAGCCCTCGCTGTGTCTCCTGTGCAGCCATCATTCTCCCTGGCATGTAGATGGACTTGCAGGGTGGGGACTTGGTGTCTCGGGAACTTTCCTGAGATCCAGAGCACATGGTAAATGGGAGCTTTCTTTCCAAAGTGGGAACATCATTGTGGCAACCCCGGGCCGCCTGGAGGACATGTTCCGGAGGAAGGCGGAGGGTCTGGACCTGGCTAACTGTGTGAGAAGCTTGGATGTCCTGGTGCTGGATGAGGCAGACAGACTTCTTGACATGGGCTTTGAAGCAAGGTACTAGAATGGGGACTTCCTGGAGTGGGGATGAAGCTGGTAGGAGGTGCAGTGCGACTTTTGTCAAACCTCAGGTGGCTCGATCCTTCTATGTCTGTCACAGGGTTTAGTCCCAGTTCTTTTATTTTTAAAAGATGAGTCTGTGTATTGTGCTAAAGTTTGAGATAAAGTTTCACTCTGTGTCCCAGAGTGGCTTTGAATTCGGGATATTTATTTATCTATCTCTTTATTTATTATGTATACAATATTCTGTCTCTGTGTGTGTTTGCAAGCCAGAAGAGGGCACCAGACCTCATTACAGATGGTTGTGAGCCACCATGTGGTTGCCGGGAATTGAACTCAGAACCTTTGGAAGAGCAGGCAATGCTCTTAACCACTGAGCCATCTCTCCAGCCCTGAATTCGAGATCTTTTGAGTCCTGCATGTCAGCAGCACAGACACAGGCCACTATGCTGACTAGTTTCAGTTTTTGTTCATGGTTTCTCTAATATGTTTATGCTGTTCAATAAACAGGTTTTTAGATATGATTCATGTATGTAGCTTGTCATGTAGTCCATGCCAATTACTATACACTTGTATTGGAGGGACCTTGATGATGTAAAGAAGGAAGAGAAATTATAATGCTTTTATCTCCCAGTGGTGTGGCCTGTGTCCGGATGATATCCCTACTTTTCTTTTCTTTCTTTTTGTTTTGTTTTTTTTTGTTTGTTCATTTTGCTTTGTTTTTTCCAGACAGGGATTTTTTTTATGTAACCCTGGTTGTCCTAGAACTTGCTCTGTAGACCAGATTGGCTACTGTGCCCAGCTGCCATCTGGTCTTTTAATATTTGATTCATTTTGTACAGGATCTTACTGTGAAGCCCAGGCTATTCTAGAACTTAGCTCTGAAGCCTAGGTTAGCCTTGGACTTGTCAGTCCTTTTGCCTCTGCCTCTTCCGTCTGTGCCCAGCTCCTCTGCTCGTTCTAATTTGTGTGTGTGTGTGCGTGCACGCACGCACGCGCTCGTGCTTTGTTTCCAGCATAAACACCATCCTGGAGTTCTTGCCAAAGCAGAGGAGAACAGGCCTTTTCTCAGCCACACAGACACAAGAAGTGGAGAACTTGGTGCGAGCGGGCCTCCGGAACCCTGTCCGAATCTCTGTGAAGGAGAAAGGCGTGGCAGCCAGCAGTACCCAGAAGACCCCATCCCGCCTGGAGAACTATTACATGGTGAGCGTGGGGCCTGCGGCTTTGTCCTGTGCCCCCACTATCCACAGAGACGGGACTGACTTTAGACCAGAGGGTCGCATTGTGTGGACTGTGAGCTCTTTCAGACGGCAGCTGCCTGAGGGATGTTGGCATTTATGGGCTGGCTCGCCCGCCCTTAAGCTGGGCTGGGGAAGGGAGGAGGCTCATCTTCCCATGAGTGACAGGGCTTATTGGTACAGAGCAGGAGTCAGGACTCTGAGGGGGTCTCAGCTTCGTCCCTCATAGACCCATGACACAGGGCCGTTGGATAGTGAGTCAACCCCACACCTGCTCAGGATGGGAAGTCAGGAAACACTGAGGACACACAGTGCCTACCCTCTCGGTCGTTTAGATGACGGTTAGAAGTGTCTCAAAATAACAACTTTTTGTTTGTTCATGCTTCTCTGTACAGCTACCCTGGCTCTTCTGGAACCTACTCTGTAGACAGGCTGGCATGTGCAGCACTTCCCAGCTAAGCTTTTTTTTTCCAGCAAATTTTTTATTTTTTTATTAAAAATTTCCACCCCAGCTAAGATTTTTTTGTTTGTTTTTCAAGACAAGATTTTTCTCTCTGATAGCCTTGGCTGTCCTGGAACTTGCTTTGTAGACCAGGCTGGCCTTGAACTCACAGAGACCCGCTGCCTCTGCCTCTGCTCCCAAGTGCTGGGATTAAAGGCCTGAGCCTCACTGTGTATTTAAGAATGGCCTTGAACTCCTTATCCTATGTCTCCCTGGCATTACAGACCTGAATTACTGTGCCCCATGAGACCAGTTTGTAAACTGCGGTGTTAGTTTTAGAAAATCCAGGAAAGCCCATTCACTGGGACTGAATGTTTCTGGTTGGGGCCTGGATTGGGCACTTGATTGGGAAGGGGGTGGAGCCTGTCTCCATGGCAGTGCTTCAGGTCTGCACATACACTCATTTCCTGAAGCTGTGCTTGTCTTACTGTGGCGGTTTTGGAATAACGTGGCCCCAGATTTAAACTTGGAGGTAACACGTGTTCTCTGTTTCACTTGGACCCACTGCTGCCTGGGCTAGGGAGCTGGTACCGCAGCTGGCCCAGGCCTGGCTGTCCGCTGGTCTTGGGAACACTTGCCTGATATGGCAGTGCTTTCCAGTCACAGTTTTATGACATAAAGTGAACACTGGCAGCAGCATGTGCTCAAGCTTCTCTGAGCTGGGCAGGCTGGGATGTCTGTCTTGTTCTCTGTGAGCTGGGC